TGAAAGATAGAATAGTGAAATTTGTTTCCCAGTCTCTCAGAATCAAGCTTCATACAAAATTTAAAAAAAATATATATATTAATCCATAAATAAATGTTTGAAGTATATAAAATTATAGAATTGTTGTTTAAAATTTGATTCTTCGGTGATTTCAAATTGATTTAGCAAGAGTTTATATGTATTTTGAAGCGTAAATAAAGAAAATGAGAATTATGAAATTAAATTATTGAAATGCCACCAAGTTTTAATACAGTTCTTGTCTCGAATGAAAGTTATCTTTAATAGAGTGAAACCAGTAAATATTTAACTTTCAAACAGAGCCGTTGCGTGCCAAAGCGCTAATAACCAGCACGAATATATTTTTAAACAACCCCTTGGCATGTAAAAAGCGATTTTCCTGTTAAAGGAAAATGTGCACGTGTTTCTCATAGACAAAATGCATATTTTTTGCATAGCCAACAACACCTGATGCCCCAATTACGTCTTCAAATGTTTTTACGCCAATCTTTTGCTTCCCTTATGAGTCTGCGTACGTGCTGTGTGTATCTAAAAACAACGGCGAAACAATTGTGATGTCAAAGTGTTGTCAGGATATTTGCTCTGATTTTTAAAATGCGTCCAAGTAAAGTGATAATCGTTTGTAAAAGTTGCCAAAACATAGGAACATTCACATAACCAAATAGGGGACGATGCACATTTGCATGTTTACACAGCATAATGTTTAAGCCAATTAAACATGATTTTTAGTCAACACAGCCGCCCTGGAAAGAGCGATGGCCCACTTAAATGAAAGCGTGCAAGTGTTTCTCAGAGACAAAAATACATTTTTGCAATTTTTTCAATCTGCAATTGAATGCTGGTGGGAAAATTACGTCTGCAAATGTTGTTACGCCAATCTTTTACGTTCCTTATCAGTCTGCCTACGTGCTAGTGTGTATCTAAAATTCACGAAGATAAACAATTGTGATGTCAAAATTTTGAATCTTCAGGTTGTGGTTATGTGGTTATCCCACCGACTTGTCAATAGTTGTATGCCTATTTACGTCTGTTTTCTCATTTCCTCTTTTTTCACTGGCCATGTGTCATCTGTCTGCAAATTATTTTATATGATTGTTTATCTGACTGAACCAGCAATTAGCTACATTTTTTAAAATTTGGTCTCTGGGGATTTTGCCGTATTTATTTTTAACTTTAACGTGTTTTAGCATAATGAAGACCTGCATGCATAATGTCTAATCCGTAACTTAGAAGACACTGGAAAGTTTTTTTCCGAAAAGATTAAAATGATTTCTTTGCATTAAAAAAAATATTATTAATACTCAATTTATAAGTAAAAATTTAAACTTACGTATAATGCACAATGGTGAATCACTGTAGCCATTACATCCCTCATCACAAACACCAGTCTGACTATTACAAGATTTGTTAAAACAGTTAGTGCTGCAATTTTGAGTGCAGTTTGGACCCCAGTGTCCTGATATACAATCTGCAAATAGAAACAAAAAGTAAAAGAGATTGGAGAGGCAAAAGGCTTAAAGTAAGTTAGCATTTTTTGTTAAGCTAAGAGGTTAGCTAAGAGTAATTTTTTCTTCTTTTAATTGCAAAAATACCTCTCGGGCATGTTAGTGGGTAACTGAATCCATTACAACTTTGGCAATAGCCAGAATCAACATTACAAGTTGTCATACAACTGTGGTTGCAAGTCTTGTTACAATAAAGACCCCATGTTCCAGGGGTACATTCTAGAAATGAGAAATTAATGCAATAGCATGAAATATAGCTTATAAATGGTAGCAAACATTTTTTTGTGTGTAAATTTTGAAGGTTTCATTTCTATTATTGATTCTATGGTTTAAAAAATGAATTTAAATAATATAAAATTCCTGGATTAATATTAATACAAAATTCAAAGACCTTATAGCTCAAAAAACGTAAATTCTCAAACATAAATAATTTTATCTTACCCCCAAATGCCTGAAATTCACATAAAGTGAGGACTCCGGTGCTTGAATTTACTCTTATGCCATTTATAGGAAGATTTCTTTGACTGACCGGGACAATTACTGTGTATGTCATCATAGCTGTATCCCGAGGGTCTTGGAAAGAAAACATTGTCATGTTGCCGGCATTGAAGGTTTGGAGACCGAAATGTATTAACCTTTCCGGGCAGCATTTGTACTCTAAAATATATGAATTTTTAGAGCATAGACAAAAAAGCAGAAACACAAATGACTTTCAATTCTGTTTAGAATATGTCATGATTTTTTTTGGTACACTAATATGACACATGATTGAAATATGTTATAACTTAGCAAGAATAGTAGTTTATATTAAAAACCTTATATATATTTTAATGCGATCAAGACAATTATTTAACAAAGTTTGATGATTTGAGGTTTCAAGTTTACATGTCATTGCGTTGTTCCAAATTTACCAAGACATGAATTCGAAAAATCTTCATTCAAAATATAAGACATAACAATAACCCACGAGTACCTTCCAATCTATTGTATAAAACAATTCTGTTGATTGTGTGGGACCGACTAAATGTAACATTCCAATTTGGCGTCGAATCCTCTGTATGAGTGCAAGTTTTACTTTTAAAAAAACTTCTTGTGTCACCATCAACTGCATGAGATGCTAAACCTAAATCGGCTCCCTCCTTTATGTATGTAGAACTCTGTACAGCAGTCTGTTTTAGTGCTTCATTTCGACCTGCAATTATTTTACCGCATGAAATACATCTTAGACATTGAGTTTGAGCATAACTTTTTTCATTTGTTATTTCGCTAAGGTGACAATAACATGTTTAAAATAAAATAAATATACTTTAGCGATAGTAGCAGGTTTAGCTTCGGATCACGTTATCAGTATTATGCTTCAGTATGGGTTTTAGGAAGAGCAATCATCAATTTTTAAAACTAGTGGAACAAAGCTGGGTCCTCTGTCTTGAAATGTATCTAAGAGACTTAGTTAAACATTTTTTTTCTTCATTTTTATAGTGTTAAGTTGATTATAAAAGACGTATTTGAATTTTTTTTATTAATTAATTAACAGAAGTAGCAGTGTCAAATTTATAACCGCACTTAAAGCGTAAAATTGGTGGGAATAGTTGGCGGGCAAACAAAACAATACGTAAATAAAGACTTAACTGACAGTATGCAAAAAGAAACGATAACAAAGGTAGTGATACTACAATGTACTTTAGTTACAGAAATTAATATCTGAAGAAATAAAAAAAAATTAAATACCGAAGCAAAATGTGCATTGCTTACAGCAAATGCAAAATATCCATATGTCTCAAAAGAGACATTTTTATTAATGCAACCAATATAAACGTCTACATAAGCCTCCTTAAGACTATCTCTAAGTAAGTCTCGGTGGGTCTATGCCTCACAAAGTCTGTCTGCTAAGAAACCTGACTTGTTTTATATATTAACTAGATATAGCCCGCGAAAAATTAGCGACAGCAATGGATGCACTTCCAATTACTAAAGTTACTTGACAAAACTGAAGTAACGCACATTTAAGAATCCCAATTTTTGCTACACCCCTTACCTCCACGATACATCACTGCACACATTTTATTTCATGCCCATGAACTGTATTAAATATTTTGATGTCCAAACCACTTTTAAACCAAATATTTTTTACAACATACTTAATTGAGACGATTCCATTTTCAAAAAAGAAAATATTACGCACCAAACTCAGTTGCGTTATTTAAAAAAAAAAAGTGATCTAGCCTACTAATCGGGAATTATATTTTACACGCTATTGAACTCATTAATTTTTTAACCATAATTTCTTTCAAACTTTTAGAATTATTGTAATATACTCTCAATAACAAATTAGCTGATTAGGAAGCAGTACATAATTGAAGCAGTCAACGAGTCACACCAGAAGCATAAAATATGTAAGAGACTAGTTACAGCTCGCCAAACACTGGTTACTATTTTAGATATTCTGATGTTCCAACCACTTTTAAAACGAATATTTTTTTTTCATCATACTTAAATAGAGACGATTTTATTTTTCGAAAAGAAAATATTGCGCTCCCACCGCTGTTGACTGTTTGGATGCCATCTACTCCTTGGTCATACGGACTAGTTCGATTCAACCAACACTAAAGCCTCATGGTACATAATGCGTTTATTTCTGACAGCATTAAAATATCAATCCGGTTCACAGTCAAGGTGAGGCATCCCTCCGTGTATACAACAATATTTTACTTGCGCAGAACATCTCACAGCGAATCTATATCAAATTGCTCGTCACTCTGTCGCTCGCCCTATCTCACACACAGCTTCTCGATATCCCTAGTTCACCCTCTCGCTCAAAATCAATTTCTCCCCTTTTACCCCCAAAATTCACCTACCCGTCCACGACTTGCAGACAGTTGACATTTGTTTACATGACTTATGTCACTCCGTAACTACCAACAACCCCCCCCCCCCCCCCCCCCACACACTTTTCTGATTGTATGACCTTGACAACCAGCAGGTTTACGTACTGATCAAGTTCATCAGTTAACACTTTAGGCATAGCACACATCAACGTATGAAAGTAGTGTGACAAAAGGGTTGGTCTGCCTTATGCTGTGAATTCAGACTCACGCACACACACACACGCACGCTCGCGCGTGCACTCACACAGATACACACAGACATATATATATATATATATATATGTAATGCCGCTTTTGTGCAAATTCAACCATCAAACAATTTTTAATTCATAAATTGCTTTCGATGACGCTAAAAATACACACGGCGAAGATGCTGCAGGGATCCGAAAATCGCATATCCTGTTCTGGTAATGAATTTCAATTTTAATCAGCCTATATAATAAAACAAAATGTAATGTCTTGAAACAAATACACAGGGACCTTACAAAATAACTTTTGGGGGCCATAATCTGCAGCAGTTGAAATCTTTCTCTGCCCAATTATTCCTTGTTAACTTTTCGATCAGGAAAAGACAAACCAATGTCTCGCAAACGCAGCTGCGACAAGGGCTAAATTGAAGTTAGTGGGTTAGGAACGATTCTAACCTCACTTAACCACAAGATCTAAGTGTCTCTCTCACATGAATGCTTAGCTTTATACGCTCCTGTGTGACAGTGAAGTGTGAACCACTTATGAAGTCGTTAGCGGATACTCAACAGCTTGACAAAGACATCTTCTCCATTCTCCATTGAGCACATTCGTGAAAACATCAGAGAAGAGTATCCACAACACTTTATACCTTCATAGATGCAACCATTAGATCTCCTTGCAAACTCTAGCACACTTTCTACAACTTTTCTTCACTCCAACATTCACTCATTAACAAAAATAAAACTCAAATCTATGATAACACCAAATCATACCTCATACCGAAATACGTCACCAATACAAACTGCGTGACAACAGCAACACAATTAATCTCAACACCAAATACGCTTTCTAACAGGTCAAGCATTACAACCTTAAACAAACAACAAAAAAAACAACAACCCCGAAACACATGTTTGACAACGCTAACAGCTCACGGTGACGACCTTTCATACTAAAAACGGTTTTTTTCAATGACTTTGAAATTTGTGTAAAAAAATTATTTATGTTTTTTAAAATGACAATCAAGTTAAAAAACAAAAAGAAATGAAAAAAAAACAAAAAAAAACCAACAAATCTAGAACCTTTATATTAGTGTTTTTAACTTAATATGTTTTATGTATTTTATACTAAAACTGAATTCGGCAGGCATTCTAATACTATGAGAATCCAAGAGTTGCTGCTAGTCAGCAAACCAGATGTCTTAAAGCTATAATGGAATAATTTGTTAATTACAAAGTGGGATTTGTAAGTTCTTTTTCTTGACATCGGATTTTATTTTATAGAGATTTTAATCTCATATTAGTTCGGTAGATAACTAAGTTTTTTTTCTTTAAAAAATAATCTCATCTGAAAAAATGAAATAGTCAAGAATGTAATGATAAAAATAATAATGATTATAATAAAGTTTATTTCAAAATCATGCTTCATCCCCAAAGTCTCGAAGCGCGGTACAAATTCAACAATATCAAAAGAGAAACGAAGCAATATATATTTTACCACACTTCATTTATGTATTTTATTTTAATATTATGATTATGCCTCTTTGCTATATTATTATTTATGTACAGCGCGGTGAGCCCAGCCCTAGGCTGGGGTACCGCGCTATATAAGACCACTTATTATTATTATTATTAAAACAACACGCAACATTTAGTAGATGAGTCGAGATTTTAACCAATCTTTATTAATGTCATTATATTGGATTAAAAGTTATTTGTAAGTAGACTTGTGTATAAGAAACCACATAATGTTTTATATTGGTACGCATTATTTAAATCCATAACTACCTGCAAATGACATGATTTAACACAATGCATCTTGACGTTCATAGCAAAAGTTAATCAGAGGTTTTTTTCATGTTGGTACATGTTTGAATTACAAAATCCGATGTCCAGAATAAGATCTAAAATATTGTTATATGGTTGCCAATGTTCCATATAATTGTTGTAAATAGTTTGAGATATTATGTAAATTCAGGAGAAATGTTGCATTTATTTCCGTACACAAACAAGATTTACAAACAAAAATGTTTTATTTTTAAATACAGAAGCATCAAATGTAGAGATAGCATATCTCAAATCAGAAATGAAGGTGTCGTCTTTAAAGTGTAAAACCTTTCTTTCGTTATTACTACTTTTTTTCATTCGCCTGCTGCAGGGTGTGATAAGTCAATAACTATTTTATAAGATTATTATACAAGTATATAATCGATACATGAAGATTATTAGAAATGAAAATTGCCTTTTTAACGTTTGGTGTTCATAATTTGTGTTGATGTGTACTTCATTAAGAGGATTATTGGCGCTACAAACTAAGGGACTGCTCTTTGGCTGCAACAGTTCAAACAGCGCCCCTACCTTACAGTATTGCGATAATATTGCCAGCAAAAATCAGAACTATATTAGGACTATTAGAACTATTATTATTATACACATTACGAAAGTAATTAGATCTTCCTTAACATAACTTTTTTTTTTAAAAGAAACAAACTCAGCGAGGTAAAGTTCAGGATTCTATTGTGTCACTTCATGTTAATAAACTTAAAGTACGATAAGGCTAAAAAACTAAGCAGCGATTATGTTATAAACTTTATTTAAAAAAGCTGTCGGTAGATACACTTCAAATAAAGTGATTATAATAGAGATTTGAATCGAACACAAGCCGAACTAAACACATCGAAATCGAACCCTGCTGAAGATCGAAACGAGCACGATACCTACTCATGACAGCATCCGAAACCGGCGACTGAAACTGAAATTGAGAATCATTGAGTACAAACCATGCAGAACGAACCTGTTTGAAACCTGTTTGTTCCCATAGCATTTTACGACTGTGGAGCAGGCTTACTTATGCCAGAAATATATATTTTAATTAAAATACGAAACAATGGCAAAACATTATTTCAAAGCAAAACTATCTTTTTTTATAATCATTTCTAACCATCTCTCCCTGCAAATATCTAGTTACACATAGGTTGATTTGTATTGATACTTGACAAATTTTCCCAATTTTTTAAAATTTAATTTCATCCACAAATGAACAAATGTAAATAAAAAGTAAATATATTTCCGTCATTTTCAAGTGTATTTATGCATTTCGTATTTAAAAGCACTAGTATATAATCATGTAATATAAGAGAAATAATTATTGAACGACCCGAACTTTAGTGGTAGGCCAAATTGACCCCCAGCTTTAGTTGTTATCGAACCAAGACGAAACCGATCTAAAGCTTTCACCCAACCGAACTAAACTCGAAATTATGCTGCTAGCGAACTCAACCGGAACTGGTTATAAGGCTCTTAATTTTCATCTCTTTCATTTAGCTTTATATCAATGCTTACATCAATCTTCCGACAATTTTAAAAAAATAAAAAGTACCTTTTAAAAATCTGGTTGGATTCAGTTACGAACGTACTCACCACCACTAATATAAAGTGAACAAAGCGAAGTAACTCTCTGTCCTGAAATAATGACTTGCATTACATCTACTTTCATCTGACAACTGATGTCCAAATTTTTGGCGTCTATAACATAGATTCTTTGATTGCTGCAGTCAGTCTCATAGTTTCCACTCGCTCTGAAAGAGACTTTAAGGTTTCCAAGGTATGCTAACAGAAGAAAAAAAAATGTAACATAAATTATTGTTACTTTCAGTTTTCTACAAATAAGAAATTAAAAAAATAAACAATTAAAAAAAAAAAAACTTTCTTGTGGCCAACATATTTTTAAACCATTTATTTGGGTTACCGGAAATTTGACCGAAAGAAATTTCGTCGACGGTAAATTGATCGACGGAAATTTGATCGAACGGAAATTTGGTGAATTTTTTTTTTTTTAATTCACACGTTAACATTTTCGTCAAATTTCTTTTTGAACAAAAGTAAAACAAAATATAGTAAAACAAAATAATGAGTTTAAGATGACATTTGAAGCAAAATTTTAACTTAAACAACTGAAAAAAAGATTCGACCATAATTCCGTTCGATCAAATTACCGTCGATCAATTTACCGTCGACGAAATTTTTGTCGATTAAATTTCCGGATACGATTTATATGAAATAGAGCTGTGTAGTTTTTCACGGGTTTAGAAGTAACGTCAAATACATCTAGATTTATAATGATTTTTTTTTTTTCTGTGTGAATAAAACTTAGAGTTAGAATTGACGTTTAAAAAAAAAAAAAAATAAAAAAAAAATAAAAAGTGCTTGTATACCATTATCCTTGACAGTAAGTCTCAACCATGAGAATGGGTAGGAAATATTCCACGCTACGGCAACAGACTGTAGATGGATGTCTTGATTACAGGTAGAGTCGTCTCTGTCGGTGATCCACGTGTTAGGTGTTTGGACCGGGGTGGTGGTTATTGTAGCAGACGGAACACTCTTTAAATCCTCTGTAAGAATACAGGCAGTTTTTTTTTTTAAAAAAAACATAACATTTAATATTAGTGAAACTAAACATTATGTGCCTCTGATGGAAAAAAACCCCGAAAAAACGAGCTCTTTTTTCTAACTTAAAAGACTAAAAAGAAATCGTTCTTTTAAAGTTTTTACACTTACCTAGGTGGCCAATCTGTCATATAGTAAGATTAGTATGAGTTTGATGTTGGAAATGTGGTATTAGTATAATTCCTAGCATTAAACAACCACATTACGTATTTAAAAAAATTAAATCGGTTTAGCTTGTACTGCACTGCCACTTTAAAAACGTAACAATTAAAATCACGTTTGATTACTCTTTGATTTATTTTAAAAATTAATGAATTTCTCATTTTATAATTTATGTTATTATAAAAAAAAAATTCCGTCATGGGTATACATTGTTAATGACTAGTTTTTGCTGATTGGCTGATATACTTTAGCGGGGTTTGATATTAACTGTAGGAGAAATAATGAGGATGACGCTTGTTTGTATACCTTATACGTTAAATTTGCTATCTTTCATGCTCAAATCCACATTTTTAAATAAATTCTCTAGAATAAACTTTGTGATTATTTTTTTTTTATTTGGACACCTAGATTTGTAAATAATAAGAATGTGTTAGACCAAAATGTATAAACTCTTTTTAATATCTATTTCAATTAAATTGTAAGCGTCTTGAATTTTTAAATGATGAAATAATTTTCAACAACAGCTCCAGGTTCTTTTTTATTCTACATCCATTAGAACAAGTGTCACTGAGTAACTGGTAAGTTTTTGTCTTTTAAACACTCTTGACAATTGGATTTTGAAATGCTCATTTTATTAAATTTTTTTTGTTACGCTAAACTCTCTGCTGAATCTCTTCAAGAGCTACATTTAAATGTGTTCCTCCCCTTTTCCTATCCTTCTCTTTTATCCACTCTCTCCTCTTCTCTCTTTCAGTCTTTCTCTCTCTCCTTCTCTATCGCTACAACGCTCGCTCTCTTTCTCTATCAACCATTTTTTATATCTGAATAACTGCTTCTCAAACTCTTACTTATAGTCAACGCCCATCTCCACCCACCCCCTCCCTGAAGGTCACACCTAAAGCAGAAATTCTCCTGGTGTGCATTTTAACAGCACCGCTATCAAGCATTTCATACTCCAAAAATGTTCCTCTCCAATCCCGTAGGCGCCTACTATCACAGCTGGCTTGCAATGTTATTAATTTTGCTGTAACTCTTTAAGTTGCAATCCAATAGCATTATTATGAGCATTCCGGTTCAACTATAAACTCTAGATGCCCCCCTTTATTCAATAGGCCCACTCTTCACTCTACAATATTTTTAACTTTTTTTGAGATGTTTTTTCAAAGCATTATTCCGGGTCAACAGTATTGACAATTTAATTTTAAAACTTCAATACATTTTTTTTTTCTAAAATTCTCATAAAATTTACTTATTGGTATTAATTTTTTTTTTTTAAATCTATTGCCGAACTTTAAAAAAAAAATATCTTTATTAAAAATTTAAAAAAAAAAAAAAAATCCAGGAAAGGAAAGAAAAGAATAAAAAAACTTACGATATTGACATCCCAGGCCAAACCATCCAGTGACACATTTAGAGTTATCTGTACATTGACCGGTACTTGGGTTGCATTTGTCGTTTTCACAGTGACATTTGTATTGGCAACTGGGCCCGAACCATCCTGACCTAGTGCAGACTGCGGAACAACCATTTCATTGTAATTGACTATTTCAAATCAATTCTCGCGTTAGGAGAAGAACGTATACTTTTCCTCTTTCTTTTTTTTTTTTGTTTTGATGTAGCACGGAAAGAAGTTTCTGTTTTATAGCTCAAGTTTTTCACGCTCACCAATGTTACCTTAAGAAGCGCGGTAAGTCTTTTTTAGCATTACGTATTGGTTGTTTCTTATTACGAAAATACTACAGGGTAATTAATATGGGCTAAGTTCAATTTTTATTTACAAAGTAGCTTACTCAAGGATGCCGCCTGCTTTTACTCATTTGGATTGTTTCCTAAATCATGTTTTTTGTTTCTAAACTCGATTTTAGTAAATTATGTAGTGTTAATTAAAACATAGCACATGATATAGTTTTAAAAATAAATATATATACTTTTACTCTGTATAATTTCTTTCCTCTCAATTTACGGTGACGTCATCCGATTTAATTCTTTACATAGCCAAACCATGACAACAACAACTGATATGACAAGGGAAAGTATATTCACCAAACCATTATTATTATTTGTATTTATTTATTTTTATGGTGGGGGGGGGGGGTTACGATGACCTACTGGGGAATGTGAAAAAACGAAAACTACAATGGTACGGGCAAGTAAACAGGAAAAAAGAGCTTGCAAAAGAAATATTGCAGGGCACCAAAAGAGGAGGATGACAAGGGAAAGTATATTCACCAAACCATTATTTTTATTTGTATTTATTTATTTTTATGGTGGGGGGGGGGGGTTACGATGACCTACTGGTGAATGTGAAAAAACGAAAACTACAATGGTACGGGCAAGTAAACAGGAAAAAAGAGCTTGCAAAAGAAATATTGCAGGGCACCACAAGAGGAGGTAGAAGAAGAGGAAGACAAAGAAAAAGATGGGAGGATAACATCAAAGAGTGGACAGGAATTACACTGGGCGATGCTGAATGTGCGTAGAATGAATGAGGATAGTTCACATGTCATCTGTGGCGCCCCAACGGTCCAAGGACTAAGGGACATGATGATGATGATGTCTCCGAAAATTAATATTTTTTCATTTATGAACAGTCCAATAATTTTAAAACACATTTAAGTTAATAAAAAATAATCTAAAATCTTTAATAAGTGCCGGAATAAGACCACGGTCGCCACTAGGAAGCAGGGTCGGTCTTAGGCCACTGCAACCTTTGCGGCCGCAGTGGGCCCCGCACTTTCATAGGCCCCTGTTAAACCGTTGAATCTGTTGTGTTGTAACTATCCACTCGTGGCAATGAGTGTCTACTTGTCTGGCCCAGTCTCTCACTTGATCCCACGAACAGTATAGCTAATATCAACAGTTAATAATACAACCAACGTTAACAGGTTCGTAGCTAGTTAGGAGTTTATTTAACACTACTGCATTAACTATGATTGATGTATAATTTCAGAATTGATAATCAAATCACTTAAAGCAAACACTACTCAATATAGAAATCCCAACAGTTCAACCAGTATATCCGCCATCAATCTTCCATCACAAAATCGACAAAGACTAACACGTGATATCCCCTTACACAATTACATCACAACAATCTCACCCCCAAGATACAGCTACACATAAAATTTCTCACCAAACATCTTTTCCTTATCAAACATGAAAACAATGATCTACACATAACAACAGTGATGCTCTTACTCTTGACATATCCCCCCTCTTCAGCTAGATTCTACTCTCCAAGTAGAATCTTCCAAAATGAAAAGTCAGGGTATGGAATCACTGTTGGGTCATACATACTCATACAGCAAGTAACAATCTCAAACAAGTAATCCTATAAGTATTATTTTGTTTACAATTATTAATTTAATTACATAAAAATTGCATCATGTGTTAAGTCAGAAGAGCATTGTTATTGCAATACCATTTCAAAGCAATAACGAGAAAAAATGTATTTAAAAAAAAAAAAAAAATAACAAAGCCATTTAACATTTGTAACATCGGTTTATACTTCTACCTTCTAATTACATAGATATTATACGCATAAACAACGACAAAAATCATGCGTTATTTATATCATGTCTAAGTAATTACTGTTCATAATAAATCAACGAAGAAAATCCTTACAATAACATAACGATTTTAAAGCAACCAATCATCTGCAACATAAAAAATAAAAAAAAAATAAAAAATCGTTATCTTCCCTTCCCAACTCATGGACTTGAAAACTTACCTCCTCTACCAACATTTTTTTTCCTCACTATTGTCGAGATACTAAAATCTGCATGAGTGTTTTCTTCTCCCTTGATATATTCAATGTCAAAATTGAATTCCTTTAAAAATAATGCCCATCTGGTGACTCTCGAAATACAGAATTTAGCGGTATTTAGATATTTTAACGCTTGGTGATCATATTGAAGAATAAATCTCGCACCCATAAGATAATAAGCCAATTTTTGAAAGCGCGTTTCCCTATTCATTAGTTTACGACTTATGTGCTCAATGGGGGTTGAAGGATGTTGTTTCTGTTCTGTAAAGGACATGTCCCCCTTCCCTTGGTTGAAGCGTCAGTTCTAACTGTAAAAAAATTTTCTATAGTCTGGTAACATTAAAATAGGTTTCTATTTAAATACTTTTGTATTGTGTCTAATGACTGTTGGCATTCCCCCGTTCAAATGATATTATTCGGTTTACCTTTTTGTGTCAGGTCCGTCAAAGGTGCCGTAAGTGTAGAAAAGTTAGGTATGAACTTATTGTAATAAGAAATGAGACCCACCAAACTTTTAACTTGTTTCTTGGTCTTTGGGTTCTCTATCGTCAACACTTTATTTAAAGTGTTGTCGTCCGGTTTTAGTAATCCAGCTCCTATCGTGTGTCCCAAAATAATTAATAGACTTTTTCCCCCAGCTCCAACTTACTTGGTTTAACGGTAAATCCTGATTCCTTCAGGATAGTGAAGACTTGCCTTAGGACCTTAATATGAGTTTCCCTGTCCTCTGCATGTATGCAAATGTCATCAAAATATGTCACTATGTTATCCAACTGCCCGAGGAAATTCTTTATTATCCTGTTAAATGTTGCCAAGGCGGTAGCTAATCCGAACGGCATATATTTAAATTGATACAATTCCTCTGGCCCCTGATAAGCAGTATATTCTTTACTAGCGTCGTGTGTTGGTATCTGCCAGTAACCCTTAGTTAAGTCTCATTTACTAAAAAACAATG